AGGAGGCGGAGGTTGCGGTGAGCCGAGATCGTGCCATTGCACTCCAGCCTGGGTAACAAGAGCGAAACTCCGTCTCAAAAAAAAAAAAAAAATATTGCATTTTGGGTTTTGGGGTACATGTGAAGAACATACAGGATTGTTGCATAGGTACATACATGGCAATGTGGTTTGCTGTCTTCCTCCCTATCACCTATATCTGGCATTTCCCTCCTCAATTCCCAACCCTCCTCAAAAAAAAAAGTTGTTTTACTGTCCAAGCCAATATCCAAGAAAAGTTTGTTCATTGAAGCTGGTTGTCTACCTTATCTCTGTGTTTTGCTTTCCATCTGCTTTTTGCATTTTGTTATCTGTTAAAGAAACCCATTCTTTTATTTATTTATTTGCTTAGTTAATTTGTTTGTTTTTTGAGACAGAGTCTCACTCTTGTTACCCCAGCTGGAGTGCGGTGGTGCGATCTTGGCACACTGCAACCTCCGCCACCTGGGTTCAAGTGATTCTCCTGCCTCAGCCTCTCAAGTAGCTGGGATTACAGACACCTGCCACCACACCCAGCTAATTTTTGTATTTTTAGTAGAGACAGAGTTTCATCATATTGGCCAGCTGGTCTCAAACTCCGGCCTCAAGTGATCCACCCACATCAGCCTCCCAAAATGTTGGAATTACAGGTGTGAACCACTGCACCCAGCCTGTTCTTTTATTTCATAGTTTACAACAATCTGAAATTTGGTGATTGTGTATCTGTAGGAATACAACCTGTTTCTCTGTCTCCTATATTTAGAAGTATAATCAGATAAAAGTTTAAGGGTTTTTGTTTGTTTTTTGATTTTGGTGGGGCAAGAATTCTATTAGGTTGGTACAAATGTGATTGCAGTGCAAAAACTGCAATTACTTTTGCATCAACCTAAATACATAGATGGTGTTATGTGTTTTCAACAGAAGGCAGCTATTGATGATGAAGGCCTAGATTTGTATTTTCATTAGATGTTGAACATGGTGATGTTCTATCATTCCTTCCTAATGTATCACCTGAAATACATCTATAATGAGAAACTCTACTCTGTTTTATCAACTATTTTGCTATCCTGAGTCTTGTGTTCTAAAGGAGAGGCAGGATAAAAGCTTGATTGATTCTCTTTATCTACCAGTTTTCAAAATAATAAATTGGGACTGGGTAGGGTGTCTCATACCTGTAATCCCAGCACTTTGGGAGGTGGAGGTTCCACCTGAGGTCAGCAGTTCGAGACCACCCTGGGAAACATGATGAAACCATGTCTTTACTAAAAATAGAAAAATTTAGGCTGGGTGTAGTGCTTCGAGCCTGTAATCCCAGCATTTTGGGAGGCCAAGGTAGGTGGATCACTTGAAGTCAGGAGTTTGAGACTAGCCTAGCCAACATGGCAAAACCCCATCTCTATTAAAAATACAAAAAATTAGCCAGGCATGATGGCACACACGTGTAATCCCAGCTACTAGGGAGGCTGAGGCACAAAGAGCATTTGAACCTAAGATGTGGAGGCTGTAGTGAGCCAACATGGTACCACTGCATTCCAGCCTGGGAGACAAAGCGAGACTCCATCACAAAATAGAAGAAAAATTAGCCAAGCAACATAATTGCTAAAAATGGTTTAAGATGTTTTCTTGGTCATCCTTTTTTAAAAAAATGATATACTAATGTATTCTCGATTATGTGTGAGAATATTTTCAAACTTGTTTTATAATCTGCTTTTCCTCATTTAGTAATTTGAGTACCTGTCTACATCAAAAAATGTTCTTCATATCCTATACCATTTTTTGATGTAACATGGTTAGCCAATCCATCTCAATTGGATATTATTTTTTTCTGTTATAAAAATTATACCAGGCACGAGAGCTCATGCCAGTAATCCCAGCAATTTTGGAGGCCAAGGCAGGGAGATCACCTGAGGCCAGGAACTCAAGACCAGCCTGGACAACATAGCAAGACCCTGTCTCTAAAAAAAAATATTTTAAAAATTAGCTAGTCATGGTGGCACACGCCTGTAATCCCAGCTACTCGGGAGGCTGAGGTGGGAGGATGCCTTGAGCCTAGAAGACTGAGGCTGCAATGAGCTTTGATCATACCACTGCATTTTAGCCTGGGCAACAGAGTGAGACTGTGTCTCAAAAAATCCCAAAACTGTAATAAATATTTTACATATAAAAACACTGTATTGAACACTTGTAGCAAAATATTTGCATGTACCCTTATTTATTTCTTTAGGATGAGTGGGGATTATTTGTTCTCAGAGAGCTTCTCTGCTTGGACAGTATTTAAGAAATTAATTCTCTGAAGAAAATAAGAAAGCTTCACTGAAGGGAAATGGGATGTGTATTAGCCAGGGCTCTCTGGTGGGAAGATATATTTGTATCTATTTAGCTAGCTAAAGAGACTTATTATAAGGAATTGGGTCATGTGATCATGGAGACAGGAAAGTCTCAAGATCTGCAGGGTGTCAGCAAGCCAGGGATTCAGGACATCCAACAGTTTAGTCCCATTCCAAGTCCACAGGCCTAAGAACCAGGAGAGCTGCTGGTGTAGTTCCCATCCAAAAGCCAGCAGGCTTGAGGGAAGGAAGAGCCAACATTTCAGTTCAAGTACAGAAGCAGACCAACATGGAGAAATCCCATCTGGCATTAGGTGGACAATCTGCTTTACTCAGTCTATAGATTTAAATGTTAATGTCATCCAAAAATAACCTCACAGACACACCCAAAATAATATTTGGTATAACCAAATATCTAGGTACCCCATGGCTCAGGTTGACACATAAAATTAACCATCATTTTTTTTTTTTTTTTTTTTTTTGACTTGGAGTCTGCTCTGTTGCCCAGGCTAATTTTTGTATTTTTAGTAGAGATGGGACTTCTCCATGTTGGTCAGGCTGGTCTCAAACTCCTGACCTCATGATCCACCTGCCTCAGCCTCCCAAAGTGCTGGGATTACAGGCGTGAGCTACCAAGTCTGGCCATCTTTCTAGTTTTTATGTGATAGAGGGCTTAGAGTTTTAGTGGAGGAAAATTTGAAAAATGGATTCTTGCCGGCTTTCCAGCTTGCTTCCCAGTTCTTCTACAAATAAAAAATGCAATTCTCTGTTGGGCATAGTGACTCACACCTGTAAATCTCAGCACTTTGGGAGGCCTAGGCAGGTGGGTCCCTTAAGTCCAGGAGTTCAAGACCAGCCTGAGCAACATGGCAAAATCCCATCTATACAAAAAATACAAACATTAGCTGGGTGTGGTTGCACATGCCTGTAATCCCAGCTACTAGTGAGGCTGAAGTGGGAGGATCACTTGAGCCCAAGAGACTGAGGCTGCAGTGAGCCATGAGCATTCCAGCTGAGCAACAGAGCAAGACTCTGTCTCAAAA